ACGCACACGTCTTTTTTTTTCCCCCTGAGCCTTCATGTCATATGGCCTTACACGCTCTTTGTGCAGTGACCGCTTGATGAAATTTAACGTTGGACGTCCTCCTGAATGAAAATGAACAGCATATCTGAGTAGACATAGCGTGTCATTTCATTTGTTAGTATCTGCACCATGGAGGTCATGTTTTCATTTATCTATTTGTCTGTTTCTGCTCAGATTTCGGTGAAGCTTGTGTTAAGTTGAGCCATCGGCTGAGGAGGAACTGATTAGATTTTGGTAGAGATGCTTTCTAACTAAATGGTCATGTAAACCATTTAGCCATTTAGACTGTAAAGAACGTTTTACTCATCAACTTTTTTACGATGTGCAAAAGCTAAATTCTTTTTTTTCTTCACCATGTTGCACAGAACAAAACATTATTCGTTTGTTGTTTGACATTCCTTATTTGCTATTCTTCTATGCACCATTTAACACAATTTGCCACAATTATTTTAATGCATTGTTCAATTGCAACCATCTGTTCAACCATGCTCGTATGACCTGTGTGTGGTACATACGTGTAACATTTCCTACTAAACATAACTGGTAAAATACATAAGCTCAATTTTTTGGTGGTAGGGTTGACAGAACACAGACCCTGCATAATTTTACTTATCCAGTAATTGGTACTTCAGAACCATGATGAATTTATATAATTCACTTGAGATGATGCTCAGTTAATCCTTGTGCAAACCATAATTGATCCAGGATTTAGGTAATAGTTAGTTTACTTTTTTTTTTAATTGCACAATTTTCCATCTCTTCTCAAATATCCTCAGAGACCAGTCTACAACAGATTTACCAAATATTTACTTCACCTCTTGACTGGTACAGTGTGGAAAAAGAGTGAAAAGCTCACACAGCATGTAGAAACTCTCCCTACTCACACATGTTGAAGGACAACATGGACGTAATGGGCACAGAAATCTCTTGAGAGCACTGACAGATATTAGCACAATAAAGTCCTGCTGACAGACAGGGGGGCAGTGTGTGTGCTTACTGTGCACACGATACATTTCGTTTCAAACCTTCAAACCATGAGGTAAAGAAGGTGACCTTGAAAAATGAAGGTCTATAAAAAAAAAAGAGTTTTGATTTGTAATGTACTTTGCCTTGAAAAATACCATTGTAATCTCATATACAGCTTGTCTGTCATTTGCATTGTATCTTATCAGTTATCTTCATAATTACTGGAGTGTGACTTTATGCCAGATACTGCAGGTCACCTTGGAAAAGATGGACAAAGTTTTGTGGACCTGTGGGGAAACTTACTGAGACCAACAGTGCTTTTGGTCATTGGGCCACAAATCACAAATTTGGTCCACAATGAAATATCTACCTGTCTGGTGGATTGTCATGAAATTTTGTACAGACATTCATAGTCCCAAGAAGATGAGTCCTAAGGACTTCAGCGAATGCCTGACCTTTTCTCTATCACCAACGTGAGGTTGACATTTGTGGTTTCAAGTCAAATGACTCAGCTGTTGGATTGATGTCCCTGGTAAACATATTTACAAATTACACAAATATGTTAACCTCCCCCCAACAAGAGGATTGAAAACAGCTCTTTACTCCGCTCAAATCGTAGCGTTGTTTGCATCCAGCATTCGCAGCAGGTGTGCTACCAATTCTGATCCAACCATTTAATGAATCTTTGCAGACTTCCGAATCAGCAATTTGCTTTCAGTGCTCGTTAAAGGTTTAAATTACTGACACCACTCAGATAAATCAACTTGCAAACAACGAAGTTGAGTCAGTCATAACAGTGTGGTTCATTTTTGGCTCATTGCTGTATCAAGTCTCTATTTCACATTCCATTCAAGCATGGGCAACAGCACTCTGAACTCATGCTGCAAAGAGGACGAGGACTAAACACAATCTTCATCAGCGAGCTGCTGCTTTTGTTTTGGGGAGAAATTTAACCCAGGCATAAAGATATGTATGTTAGCCTTAAAATTGTAGGCTCGCTGTCTTCTGGTGTCATCCTTGGTTTAGTTGTACCATTCCACATGGTGCCAAGTTTCACCCTTGGCCATGTTTCACTTCATTTTTTCCACTCTCCCACATCTAAACACTGCCTGCATCTTTCAGCACCCTCTTCCTTGTGATTCATGCAATTTCTCTCCCATTATTTTGAATCAGTCCCTTGTTCCTGGTTTGACCACATAATTTTTACTCTGTCTACTGTCTCCTGAATGAGGTCGACCACCAGTCTCCCGCTCTCTCTCTCTCTCTCGGCTCTCTCGTCTCTTCTAGCGCAGCGCTCCATGCAGCCAAACCACAAGCCTCAATTACCTAGCATTCCATTGGAGAGGACGAGAGAGGCCTCATGTAGCAGACTATGAAATTAACATTCATGACTAACCTCTTAAGCCACAAAACTATTTCATGAGATCAACAGTTGCAGAATTTCACCATTGAGAAAAGTATCACTGCTATTGTGTTTCTGTTTTCTGACAAAGGATGAGAGTGACTTTGAAGCAAGAAAATCTGTCATGATACCAACAAAGACAAAATTCATTAACTACACATTTAGTTAAGACCAGAATCCAATTTGACATTTATTTCATCACATGAAATGTTTTTACACCATAGAAATATATACTTTTGAAGAAAGCAGCATATCAAATGTGCACTTACAACAAAACACAGCAAAAAAAACGAAATCAGCTAAAGCTAGCTGGAGAAAACCACTGCTAGCCTTGACTTACGCTAAATTTACGAATTTTATTTTCTAGCGGTTTCCTGTAATTGCAACGTATGAATTTTGTTTTGTTGTTTGTTTGAGCTAACATCTCTAGTTCGATATCCCACCTAGCCTATCTTAGCAGAGTAGCAGTAGCTTAATCTTAGCATTTGACAGGAGAGGAGCATGAGCCGGTGTGGTAAATTACACATTTTCATTTTGAGCAATTGTCATTTCATTTATTCATATTCATTTATAGGTAATAATTATGGGTATAAAAAGCTGAGAGACACATTTTCTGTGTTGATACTGCAATTTCCTCTGTGTTGCCTGAAGTGTTTCTAAAGGACTATATTTTTTGTTGTGAAATAATATGTAAGACTTTAAGGCATGAAGGCATAAAATTAAGGCATTACATCCTAACTATGTGTTAGGATTTAGGAAAATACTGATTGCACTATTTCTTTGTTGTGCACAATAATGCTTGTGCTCGAAATGTTGTTTTTCTTTAGCATGAGTTGTTAAATATGTGCATGACATAAATATAAGTTTACATATTGTATTTTTTTCTTTTACAAATGGACTCAGACAGTTCTATAATGCATAGACAAGGATTTTAATGTATGTTTCACTTACAAATCTGTTCCAAGCACAAGTCACTGGCTTTCACACTGAGCAGTAGTCACTTTTCGACAACCCATGATGCATTGCATCTGTGTATACAGTACGTACTGTAGTACAGCATTTACTGAAAGGCAACATATTTATGGTACAAATACTCATTTGTACAACAAATCTTACCAGACATTGGTCAAGTGGTTACTGAGCAATCAAAGGAGAAGCCTTCACACAAATCATCTCTTTCTTTTAGGCTGATGCATGACATGTACGTGCTGTAGAAATGATCATTTAATGCAAAAGCTGTGGCAATTTATGAAAACACCCTGTAGTTAAGCACCTTTGAGGGCAAGGTCAGTATGACTTCTTCATCTCAACTGTAATTCTAATGTCACCCCTGCATATTTTCCTACCAAGGTGGTTGAGTGGTGAGGTAATGGGATATGGTTATGTATTTCATAATCACTTGTTTCATTGCACTGGAATGTAAAAATCTTTAGTTTTCCATTTCCAGGTCCTTTGCCTTAGCAAAGAACAAAGCACTGACAAACATTCAGACAATTTCTTTTATTTTGTTTGTTCATTATAACAAACTGTTCTCTTTCTATATTTCACTACCTTTTGCCTGGAAATACATTTTTCTCTTAGGGTTTGTGGAAAACATTTTTGAGTACTTTGGGGATAGGGTGCATTGAACCTACTGGAGAATCTGAGTTGTTTTGTATTATCAGGATATTAATTATGACATTATCAGCCTGCCAACAATAATAAGACTGTGGACGATGTCTGCCTCCATGCTTCAGCTTTCCTGTGCTTGTCTGGCTGCCTCATTGACACAGTAAATCATGATGTACAAACAATTCGCACTGCAAGTTTCCTGAAAAAATAATCATTCTTTTAACTACACTTTACAGTTTGGAGTCACCAGTTACGTTACTGTTTAAATATACTACAAAGCCTACCCAATAGAGATGCAGAATAAAGCTCAAAATTACTTTTTGAAGCAGCACATTGAACTTGCTTTAACATGTTGAAACGTTATTACAGCTTTTGTTGCTCTTTGCTCATCCGCATGATGTTTTGAAGAGAATTTTGAACTTGTTTAAGAGTAAAAGTGACAAAAAAAAATTCTCCTTTCACCAGCACTCATCTCATGGCAACTGTAACATTATCACAAGTAGTGTACACACTATTCATTGTTAATTATGGGATTCACAAATGTCAAGCCACATCATGCAAACATACGTAATCAGTACCAAATCACATCAGTACCATATGTCTATACTGTTGTATCACAGAGAAAAAAAATGGTGATCCTTCCAAGGTTAGGATGGAGTGATTGGAGGGTGGATGAAGATAATGGAAGAGTCAAGCCTCTGTGGTTCTGTGACCCACCCAGGACAGTCCCTCTAACAGGCCCCAGAATAAAGTACAGAGGACTCATACAACTGCACTTAAAGCTCCTCTACATCTGTTACTCGATCCACTAAAAACTTACAGCATAGGATTCTTTATAAAAGCGAATGAAAGAACCAGCTCTGCTGTGTGCGTGTTTGTCTACAAACACCTTTAAGTAGGATGAATGAAACAACGTCAAATGAATATAGAGTACACTCTCTGTATTCATCTGTGTAGAAAGTAAAGATGAAGTGAGTCAATCTGATTCATATTCACATGCTTTAATCCAGGTTCTTTGTAAACAGGCTGCATGTGGAGGAAATAGGCCTGTAAAAGAATGTAAAAAGAAAAGGGCTGTAATGGTGGTACAAGTACAGAACATGGTGACGGATGCATATCAAATTCTGGTCAACATTTTTTTTTTCTTTCTTTTTTCTTTGCATTCACACAGCCTACCTAATCCTGCTAAACCAGCCTAGTCTTGAGCTAAACACACTGATTGATGCTTTTTCAGGTTTGCAAGTTTGTTTGCTTTTTTGCACAAAATGTATTTAGATACATAAAACAGTTCTTGTATTGAGGGAGAAGGCAAAATCCTAGAAAATATTTCTGAAAAAAAAATGTATTGATACATTTTCTTTAAATAAATTATGCCCCTGATGAAGCTCCCCAGAACAGTTTTCAAAATATTGTTGTCGCTTTACCCATTTTATAATGTAACTGTTTCTAAGTAGTTGTATGTGGTACTGTATGTGCGCAGGTCTCCCTTCAGAGATTACAGTACTTCATTTTGAGACAAAACGCATAAAACTTCATTTTAAAGCTGAAAATGTAATACATACAAAATATGAAGTTACAGAAAGAGTCTGTGCTGCAACAACTCTGCAGAAAAAGACAAAACATTTCAGAAGCTACCCCGAAAATAAACCCACCACACTATATATCCTAAAGGCACCTTAGACAAAGATATATCCCTGTGCTCGAGTGGCTGGAGAGGTTTGGGGTAGAAAAAAGGGGAAGCCTTTTACTTTCAAAAAGCCTAACCACTGCATTGAAACACTAGATCGCCACAGAAAAGGCTACATAGTAAATAGATGGGAGTTTTCATTGCATAAACTATTGTGTCACTGATTGTCTATAAGCACGACTTAAAGACATAGAATCCATATCTGTAAAATTACGAGATTTAACTCAGTTTCATTTCAAATACTGCAACATATCAAAATGCTCTACGCCTTTCGGCCTTGACAAACTTTGCACACAACACTCCGTCATTTGCATGGTGCTGCGATGCTGCATTTCTGCAACAAGGTATATTTTAAAGATAACAAAACATGCATGGGGAAAATTCTCTCCTGATCATGCGGATATTTGTTTCTGGATTTACACTCCAAAGTTTAACAGCAGGAGGTTAAAAAGACAACACAAAAATATATAAAACAATAAAACAAACAAAGAGACAGTTTGAATCAAAAATCAAGAATAAAAAGAGTGTCCAACAAGCTCTGTCCTGCTGCGGCAAAAACAATCCACCTGACAAGCTGGTGGAGGAGGTTGTCTTCCCCTCCTTTGTATCGTCTCCCCCCTTTCAACTCAACCCAAACTACCAGCCCAGTCTGTAAAAATGATCCGCTCCGGTGCTTCATCAAGTCTCCCTCCTCCTTTTCATCCCATTTTATGTCTTCCTTCTCAGGCTGGACAGACTTGCTCCCCCTGCAGGTGAGAGGTTGGAATGACGCTGTATTCCTAACCAGATAATGGGGGATATGGTGCCTCTGGTTTCACCGAGGGGGTGGGGGGTGGGGGGGTAAAATTGGAAAGTCACTGGGATTGATCAGACAGGTAATGGGAGCAGGTGCAGGCATCACACCCTGCTGGTCGGGTGGCAGCGGTAGGTGCAGTTGGACAGGGGATCCGCCCCGCCGTCGACGTTCTGGGAGCATCCTCCCTCCGAACACGCCTCTGAGAGAAAAAGAGACATGAAAGATTTGCTATCAGTACTGCTGTGTGACATTATATTTACACTCCTCATATCTGTGTGTGTGAGATAAACAAATAACACACCTGCATCTTCCTCTGGCATCAGCAGATGACTTCGGCACGGGCTGGGCAGGGTGGGGTTGGGTCCTTCATGACTGGATCCCAGCTGGAGACGCCTCATGTGACGAACCACCGCTGTGGCGTTGAAGGCTTGCTGCAGAGAGAAGGCCACAGACACAACTGAACATCAGTCCCAGCAGAATCTCTACACTAGCTGACCAACTAGGGCCAACTGGGACTGGGACCGTAGCCTGAATATTTGTGGTCATCCCACATGTTAAATGTTTTTAATGATTCAAAAAAGGTGTATTTTAAAGATAACAAAACATGCATGGGGATGTTCCACTCTTGAAAGTTAAAACAAACAAAAAAAAAGGTTTAAACTTCCCAATTTCAGTAGCAAAGTAAAGCAAACAAGTGATGAAGTTCAGACCAAGACCAAACTTTTAACCGTGGCCAAATTGTATTCTCTCCACATGTACTAAAAGGGAAATTAACAATGCAGGATAAATTCTGCATATAAGAAAAACTAAATAAAAACTAAATAAACTGGAAATCTGACTCACCTTCCACTTGCTTTTAGCAAAATTCTTTTTGATCTGAGCACTGACAGACTCGTGGATGTTCTTGTCCAGGGCAGTGTCCCCAGCAATCCTGACAAAGAGAGGAGACAGGACACATGAGAGTGTGTCGGTGCAAAAATGTGTGTGCAACAGATAGAAGTCATCATTGTACAAATACAGTAACACCACGATAAAAACAGAATTTCATTGGCACCAAGCTACTTTATTTTGCCAAGCTATATTTGTTTAATAGGCAAATCCAATCTATAAATATCATAATTTTAATCATAAATTCGTTCTTTGTGAGTTCTTTGTGAAATGTGAGTTTGTGACTGCACTATGATGGAGGGGTATAGGACCAGTACCAGGGGTGCTGCAGGGCCTGCTCGCAGGTGTAACGTATGTTAGGGTCTTTCTCCATCAGGTGGACTATAAAGTCTTTAGCTGTAATGAAAAAGAAAGATAAAAACTCATCATCAACTTAAGGCAACAGCAGCACCGAGTTGACACAGTCTACTTCATTCATGAACGCCCAGGCCACAACCTCAGTTTAAGGCTGGATACAGTTTATTAATGTAATAATATTTCAGTGTCTAAATGCTGAAAAACAAGATAAAACACATCTTGAAGTAATTCCCATAGGCTGGAAAATTGGCCGCTGCATCAACTGCATAATTTGTCCCAAAGGCTGGAGAGAGCCTGAACCAGAGCAGGGAAACAAGGACCCAGGCAACAATTTTATCTCTCATGTTCCTTGTTGTCCCAGTGACCCTTTCTACAATATGCAGCTCACAAAAGCATGTTCAGAAGTTTAGCCTAATAAACACATCTACGTATCTGTGCACATTTGTCACATCTGGAATGTAAAGTCTGCTTCACGTCGACAGGAGAGGACTGAAGAAACCTGGATGGATACCTGAATCAGAGATATCGTCCCAGTACGGAGAATCGAACTCGTATTCTGCCTTCAGGATTTGTTCAAACAGTTTGGCATCATTCTCATCATAGAAGGGAGGGTAACCACACAACCTGAGACACACAGGAGAGGACAGGTGTCATGTTTCCACACACACATGCACGAGATTTCCTCCTAAGTGATTAGTAATACTAAAACTAATGTTTAGCATCTGGATGCAAAACATGGACACAGTTACGACTGTATCATGATTGATTTGGAACAAAATAAAGTTCATATAACTATTACAGTATATTGTCAGGGCAGGTTTTCGTACGTGCTATGTTAGGCTGGGCCCATGTCTTGAAAGTGTACTCACAGAATATAGGCTATGACACCAATAGACCAGCAGTCCACTGCTTTACTGTAGGGTTTCTGAGCCAACACTTCAGGGGCTGAAAGAATAAAGAGAAATAATTTGTCTCGTAAGAAGGAGATGTGATGACTGCTGATAGTCACCCTTTCCATATATCAGTTAGTATCGCTATACCTATTTAAACCTGTAAACTAACTTGTCAAATCTGTTAAATGTCTATATGAGACATTAAGTCTCTTGAAAGTTATATCAGTAATGAAACTGTTGTAAGAAAGCAATATCACATTCAGAGTTGTGTTATATAGTGCTAAATTGGCACTGTGCTAATACTGCATGGTACAGTGTTTCCTGACATGTAAAACTGATAAAATACAAACAGATTTTTTTTTTTAAATTTAAGACAGTAGCTTGACTTCTTTACCAACATATCCAGGTGTTCCACAGGCCGTCGACATCACACTGCCAGAGCCCTCGATCTTAGACAGACCAAAGTCACTGATCATGATTTTGGAGTCTTCGTCCATGCTGTAGTACAGCAGATTCTCTGGCTACAATGAGGAGGGACAAAACCCGGGGATTTAGATAAAGTAGTATCTTACAAAACCACGTCACGTCTCTCCTAAACACACAAATGCACAAACTCCTCCACAGCCACCACATACACACATGTAAGCACACAGTAATTACTAATCTTGCTAAAAGGATTATATGCTTGTGCAGACAGGATTACAAAGACAACAGTAAAGTCAATGTTTGTTTACTGTCAGCAAAGCTATTGTAGACTGGAAAATTACAGCTACTTAGAAAACATGTTTTCAGTCTGGGGGGGAAACAGGGTTTGTGAGTTCTGACTCATGCTCAGTCAGCACATGAACAGTGTGCCAATCCTATGCAGGCTAACTTTTCAATCAAATCAATGACTCTCGTCTGACCTTGAGGTCACGGTGCACGATGCCCATGTCGTGGAGGTATTTGACAGCATCCAGAATCTGCTGAATGAGCTTACTGGCGTCTTTCTCTGTGTAGAAGCCCTTCTCTATGATGCGATCGAAGAGTTCCCCGCCAGACACCCTGCATGGAGAGGGAGAGATTTGTTTATGACAGCGAAGGACCAAATGAAGATTTGTTGGTTTGTTGAGGGAAGCAAAAAGAGGGGTAGTGAGAGAAATATGAAATGGGGCAATGGGAGGATATTAACTTGAAAGTTTGCTTGAACAATAGGACAAAAACACTTGGAGTGTTGTTAAAAAATCCAGACTCAAAGACAGAAAAGGTTTCTTTATCTACTGAAACGTGTGCTTTAACACTGTAATAATGAAATGTTCTACATGTATATATCTCTAATAAACAACTGCATAAAGATGGAAATGTGGAGGTGTGAATGAAACTGCAGGAAAGGGATGTGATCATGTCTGCTTGATATTACACCAAGAAGCCACTAGATGGAGACATCACTCTGCATACAGAATATCTGCTAACTGGGTGTGTTTCCTCGAGCTTCCAATACCAATCACTCATACACACACACACACACACACACACACACACACACACCGAACTCACTAAACACACACACAGTTGATATTTTTAACATATCATGAACGAGGCACAGAATTCAGAGAAAAGGAAACGACAAGTGGACAGTTCCAGAGATGATTAAGAAAGAAGGAGAGAAGCAAAGGGATGTGGAAACCTTGAATCAGAGGGAACACTATTGTACTGCTGTATTGAAAGGTCACATCAAAACTATTATGAGGGAACACAATTGTATTTCAAGGTTTTGAAATCTATTGAAAAATAACTTGAGAAACACAAGCACTCAAGAAAAGAATTCCCCACTAGTCCTTGCCTTTATAAATGTACACCCCTCCCTCTCTCTCTCTGATTTGCCAATGACTGTGATTAATGCATAAATGATTGATATTTTCAGGAGCCTTTCAGTAAATCGTGCTGGTGATCGTGAGCTGTCCTTTCTGTGGTTCTCTCTCTCTCTCTCTCTCTCTCTGACATTTCAGGAGTTGAGGTGGGTGGGAGGCTGACAGGCTGCAGGTGTGAGGGCAAACTCCCCACTGGTGCTCATGAGTAGGCATAGTACAGTCTTTTCTTGTGAGTGTGTGTGTGTGTGTGTGTGTTCATGCACATGCAAGTGTGATACAGAGTGCAGTTAATGGCATGTGACATGCAGTGCGTGGGAGAGCGCAAGTAGGGAGTTTGAAACACACATCACACAAAGACAAGTCACACAAACCCACACGTATGTGAATACTCACAGTTGCATGACAAGGTAGAGGTGTGATTTACTCTCAAATATCTCTTCCAGAGATACAATGTTGGCGTGTTTAATCCTGTGAGGAGGGAGAACAGAGAAACAAGATGAGAAATGAGGCTGTTCATATTATTATTATTCTTAAAATACACAGACTTCTACTAGTCATTTAGCCATTAGTATTGAAATTGTCTGCAGGTAGCATAAAAAATTCTCCTGGGTGTCATTAGAATTACTTGTTAGGAGTTTGAAATCTTGTCCAGTAGATATGATTGGGACAATCAGTGTATGAACCCACCACGCAGCTGTTTACTGGCTGTAGAGGAGGCTACACTGTGTGGTGGCAAGCAGCTTCCCAATAGGCTGAACTCTGTGTTCTGCTGCCCCCTAAGACCCGTGGGTGCACTGACAGGGGTGAGAAGATGACTCACCAGATCAAGATTGGTGTTGTACTCCTTTGCTTGACCAGTTTGTACTTTTACCTGTATCATGACAGACCTCTGTCCCAGACACATGCTCTTAATTTCAATGTGGCACGTATAACGAAATGGGCCCAAGGTCACATAAAATTAACATTTTGACATTACAAACATTTTTTGTTTATTCATCATTTGCAGATTTTCAACTTATTCAGAGGGACAGTGATGCATAATGAGCAGCTGATTTGTATTTCTGTTGGAAGCATTTTGCGAGGTTTGGTCTTCACATGAGGAGATTTTTAAGTGTCGTCTTGCACCAGGAAACACAACAATTTTAGGATATGTGGGGACATAATTTCCGTTTAAACTGTTTGAAAAATATGGCTATTTAATGGTAATTTTAACTTCCAGCACCTTAAATGTAGACTTGTGTATTAAACCTCACGACTTTTAAGTATGAAGCAAAACTTGTCCATAGGATTGAGTATTGAAAACAAAAACAAAAAAGGTATAGTAAAAAGTATTTTATCATATTCTATATCTATTTTATTTTATCATATCAAAACTCAGGTAACGTATCAGCATTGGTGTCAAAAAATTTCAAATGATAAACAGCCCTAGATACACGTGTATGTGTGTCTGACGCCTTCGATACTCTCAGTTTAAAGGTAGCTTGTGGCGTTTTCTTGTAAACGAACAAAAGTTACATTCAGTGTCACTCATCAAAATGCATTTTCTTTCCCATGAAACATTTTCAAAGCTAATTTTTAGAAATATTTTAAATTGTACACTATTTACATCCACATTTGTTGTGCTTGCAGCAACTTTCTTCACTGTCTTCGATGATGCGTGGCTATGTTTTTACTGCCACCAACAGTGGATCAGTGGAACGGCATGAAACCAACGACAGGATGTGAACCATGCCACTCGCTCACAGCATGTGTGTCCTTATGCGCATTTACGATACAAACAAAATGGGAACTCAGTTGTAAAAACATTGCTTCTTCACACGACTATTGGTCAAGAACTCCACTGGGGGCTCCTTTAACTGCAACTTTTGTACTTCTCTGATTTTCTCTTTGAGCCCTCATCATGCAACCCTCTGTGTTTGTGTGTAACCAATTCATTTCATTTAGCCCAGTACCTCGATGCATTTGAAGGTTACTGAGTTGACTTGGAGGCTGGTTGTACAGAGACAACACAAAGCACGTGTCTGAGCTGTACTGGAGGTAACAGTGTATGTGTCAGCCTCAGCTCATGCTGGATTACAGCAATGACTCTTATCCAGATTGTAACTATGCATGGACACCTTCATTCATCTGCTTAGCTCAGTGCGGAAGGAGAGATGGACCCAGTGAAGGATGAATGATGGATTAAAGCTGCCGAGTGAGCGGACACGTGTGAACGGGTGTGAGCTCAAGTGTGCACTTTATCACACAATTATAGAAGATCAGACACATGCAGTCAAGTTACTGCATTTGAGTTGGATTTCTGTGCAGGTGTGTTTGTGTGGGCGATGAAAACAGAAATGCTGGACACTGGTCATGGTGATTGTCAGAGTGCTGAAATGTCTTATGAAGGCTGGTGAGTCATTTGCTGACCTCTGTCAGCACCTGTGGGTCTCACGACGCATCAGAACATAGAAGTCAGCAAATTAGAGAACAGTATTGTCCACACAGCAACGGCTAAATCTGACACGTGGGTGAATCTGGCAGATCTACTGATTCTTAAATCCATATTCTGTTGAGTTTCTCAAATAATGACGTATTTTATGCATTTCTTTAAGGACATTTTTTTATTTTAACAGCCTCGGGTAATCTGGCATCACTCCTTTTTGCACATTTGACCTTTTGTATTTTATTTGTTTTTCTTACAGCTGTGAAACAATCTTTTGTTGTTTTTTTCCCCCCAGAGCAGTTAGTGGGCTTTGAATGAACGAATGCCTCCTGCAATATCTGTAGGATCTTAAAGTTCCTGCGGTGGGAGAAGATTTTTCTCAGGTCAGAAGAGGTACATGCATTAAAGTGAAGATAATCTGGTTTCTCCAACAGAACTCTCCATTAAAAAACTGAACCAGGTTACATGATGTTTCAGAATTCAGGTTACTGCAGAAAGCGGTAATACGGTTACTAAGATGCATGTACATGTACACCACGTTACATACATTTTCAGGATATTGAGTAATAAATGCTCCCTGTTCCACAACTTCCTTGTTAAGAGGCAAGTGCCTCATCATGCATAACTGTTGAGCAATAGAGTCAGTTAAAGTGGACATTTGGTGTTTTTAGGCCTGAAACATTGTGAGCAGTGGATGTGCGGTGAGAAACACACAATTACTTTGAGTCCAACATTACTTGAGATAGATCCACTTGACATTTCTAGCTCAAAAATATGTCTCAGTTATGTTATACAGCTACATTCATAAACCTTTTTTAGATTTTCAACAGAGCCACCGCAGCAACTTCAGCATCTCTTCTGACTGGCACAGCTACAGATGACTTAGCAGAGTGTGATTAGTCACTGTATTTGCACATGTCTGTGTTTGAGTAAATGTTTGGTCTAGATAAAATGGGAAGAGGATGAACAGCCAGCTATCCAATGTGATGATATCACATGGCTACAGTGGTGGTATATCAAACTACCATCAGGCAGGGCAGCCATCTTACAAACAGCAATTAAAAGAGTGAAGAGGTGACTATGTCCGATTAGGATCTTCTGGCTTTGCATCTGCCCCAACACAAACTGAGCCATTACACACTAAACTGATAATAAATTCACTTTGTTTACATTGCCACAAATGCTTTAAACAGGTTGGAAACATTAAATAAACAATAATAAATTTAGAACGAGAGACATTAAAGGAAAGTCAAGATGAAAAGTTTGTCTCTGGCCTCACAGGAAGGAACAAAGGATTGTTTCTTAGACAATAACATTTATGTGCGCCGGCTGTCTCCTGTGGTCAAAAACAAGAGAGGAGGGTTACTTCACGGTAAATCTTCAGTGTTGCACCACTGTACGGTTAAAGTTTATAGATAGAAAAGATACGAAAAGTAGACAGTGACACTAAGTTTCGTTTTACGGGAACAGTGCATTGTTGACACAAAAGTGGGATTTGATATTTAACATTTACGCAACGACATGATCAGTTTAGTGTTCACAACACTTCAATACTTCATTGTTAGTTGGGTTTGGCTGTTGTATTCAAACCTTTAACTGGACTGAGAAATCTAAACGGGGGGAATATATTTTCAATCCAATGATTTCATGACCTTCAAAACCAAAGAAAATCAGCAAACATAAAAATATGACACTGTTTTTACTTAAATGACACCTATTCAAAGATGCACTCAGACCTTGTCCTGTGCTCTGTGTATCTTGAGGATGAGGTGTTAAAATGAGTAATGCAACCTTCATATGAGTCTATACAAACCATGATTTTCAGGCCAAGTTTAACTCAGTTAACTCCATTTGTCAAAATTGTCACCAAACTGCTAACCCCCACCACTCTCATTCCACCGTCCTCACTTCAGGAGGAATCATAGCTGTATATTGGCGAGAGTTGTGTGTCTCCTGTAACCCAGGCAACAAGAGCTCTAAAAATAACCTGGGACCCGATGTAGATCAGCCATTTTCACCACGGCCTGTAATTCCCCATATCTAAAGAGAAGTATGTTTGAAGCACCCAACAATTACCAGAGTGTTATTGTTGCTTGCCTTTCTCTTACATATAATAAAATATAATAAAACATTATATCCTTCGCAAAGGTAGAGAGAAAACTTGTGCATGAGCTGTGTCAAGAGCGATCCTGTGCAGTCTTTTTGTAGGTGTGAACATTTTATGTGATATGACTCCATGTGACAAGCGAAACCACTCATTTTTGCCCCATGATATGTTAAGAAACAAGGATTAAAGGTGCATTACTTGTATTTTCAAATGCTAGGGCAGATTATAAAACAAGTTGCACAGCACAATGAGCTTCAAAAGTTAATTTAAGTTGATTATACTAAATAGGCTAATTGAAACAAGTATATTTTTTATAGTTTTATCACCAAAATGTCAAAAAATAAATAAAAAAACAAAAAATGAATCAACATTTTCTCATGCCAATACAATGGCGGTGAATACTATTGTGCTCACAGCACTAAAAACAGCATTAGCTTTTTCCTGAAGCTGCTAGTCAGGTGAATCCACAGAACATGTTGTTTTCAAAGAGACTATTTCTTCAGCAGAAAGTAGTTCAACTGAAAACTCTTCACAGTGAAGTCTCTGGTTTTTCCAGATTAACCAGGACATTGTTTCCTGAGTCACAAGTTGTTGAAATTTCAAAATGCCATTTGAACGCCAAACATGAAAAAATGTTAACTCCTTTAATACACTGTACTTGGGCAAATAAAACTAACACTACCTGGATGGACTAGACACCAATAGTGTTTTTTCAGGGGGGGGTTTTTGGTGCTGGCCCTTTAATTGGCCCTATCTATTGAGAAACTGTCTTTACTGTGGGAATATCAGGATGCAAATACACAGTACATATCCAAATTTTACAGCGCTTGAGTGACAAGTAAGATTAAGTTTAATATGACGCATATTACATGCGTCATAGTAGATCATATTACAACATATATGATATCTAGTAATGTGATACAACATACATGATGCAGTAATGGGGATACAGTAATGAAAATTTTACCATCTTGAACTTTGTAGATAGTATTTCAGATGCAGGCTAATGCTGAACATCGGTCTGTGGTTTCAACACAAACTGGTTCAAAAATACGATTTAATTTTATATGTTACCATCATGTTATATTACATTATAAAGAACCACAGAGTCTACCATTGTTTATTTCTCATATTCAGAGAGGTCCACTTACTTGTGCAGGACTGCTATCTCATTCTCAATGCTGTTTTCTTTGCCCTCTAATGCCTTTTTGGGGATACACTTGATAGCCACCAACTTCTGGGTCCTCTTCTCCTCAGCCAGGACCACCTCAGAGAACGCTCCCCTGAAACACAAATACACAGGTCAGCCTGTCAGACCCCAGTCCATTTATCACAGGGTATGTAGGCAGAGCTCCTCATGTGCATTTGTGACATTGCAGAGAAAAAAAAACAAAAAAGCGAAATCCTGCTTTGATGTTAAATTGGCAGAACGCTTCTGATAACTTGGCTACTTACAATTAAGCGCTTGAAGAAATTCTCGCCCACTGATGCCAGATAGTGTTTATTTTTAACTTCAGCCTCCTCCTGAAGTCTTTGGGTTGCTGCTGAGTCAAGTTTTGGAGAGGCTACAAGTTGGTGGGATGCTTTGGAAGCACTGACTCCAAATTCTGAGGTTTATCTCAGTGACAGATTTTGATACTCGCCCAAAACTTCTTTCAAGTCTCAACCACGTGATGCCCATCAATCAACTGGATGGCCACAGTGTGTGCAGCATCATTCTTTCTGTCTCACATTAAATTTCTCCTACGAAATTTGCACTAAACTGCTTAAAATATGCGTATTGTGTGTGTGTGTATGTGTGTGTTTCTGCCAGCGTCTGGACACCATACAGTGTAGTTGAGTGGTGTATATAAAAGTGTGTGCGAATGTGGATCATACAGGGCAATGTAGTGTAGATTCAGGCATAAAGTAAAACACCTATTAACATAACAGAGCAGTTAACGCCATTCGTTATTCTTTTTTAGCACATTTGTAAACCAGTAGAAATACTAATCTCTTTATCTATGATGCACCAGACATTTTAATATATCTTTAACAGTCTTGTCTGTATGTTGTGATTTGTGTACAGTTAACACTGCACAACAGTTTTGTACTTAGGTTGGGTTGTGACATGCTCAAGTATGCAGTCTATTTTATCTGCCCTGATGGCTTTACGATAAACAACTTCACTTCTTTCTTTTTTTTCCCTCTATGTGTCTGCCTTCCAACTAAAATCAATAATGAAAAAACAAGTAAAGCAACATATCTCAAAGAAGTTAAGGACTTCAGCATTTTCCCATGACCCATTTAAAAGTAGATACAGACATTTCTTACGAGCTCTGGCGTTCTGGCAGAGGTCCAGAGATTTTTGACTCAGATCCAAAGCTGCACAATAACTATATGGGATTCCTGACTCACAGTAAGAAAAATGCTCTAGTGAAGTGTGAGTAAACTGTGAAAGAAATACAGCTGTTAAATGTAAAGCAGCATAACAGCCTCCTAGGCTGAGACCCAGTCCTGCAACAGAAGTCCCCTGTCATGGTTCCTTCTGTCTTCCCCCTAAAGGTTCATTCCCAGTTTATCTATCTCCGTGTGTATGTGTGAGTGTGTGTGTGTGTGTGTGTGTGTGTGTGTGTGTGTGTGTGTGTGTGTGTGTGGTGTGTGTGTGTGTGTGTGTGTGTGTGTGTCTGCTGGGCATGGTGTACTGTACTCCTCCTGCTCTCAATCATCCTGCATACCTGAAGCTCATCCAGTAAATCAACTCCTGTACTCCACTATTCGCTAGATCGTTCACCACTGTGGTAACGGAGCTGAACTCTGCCTCTGCCTTCGATCCTGTCCTGCTCACCCAGCTCCTCATCCATCTGCCGCTCCAGTTATATCCTGTTTGCCTGTCTGCCTTGCTTCATCTACCTTGCCCTGGCCCCTCGATCCGGATTTCTCTCTCTGCCCTGCTCCAAAGTCCTTTCTGGCTCAAGGCCCGACAACATCACCTTTTGATGTTTACAATAAATCTGTGTTTGAACTTTTTACCTTCACGCCTCTGAGTTCTACTTTTGAGTCCAAACTGCATTTAACATCACACCTTCGTACAGTCTAATGTTTCAGTGTGAACAACTCTCTTTATGTAATGTAAAATAAGGTCTATAGCACGAGTGGTCTCAGATTAATTACATGTATGAAAGTCCCTGGAGGATTAGGCAAAAACACACAATGACCTAAAACTGTGATGAGATATAATTTTGATTTGTATGGGTATAATTGTACTGTATGTTTGGCAATAAACAAGAGGAAGAGCTTCCAACACACTGGGATCTGCTCCCTCTATTTTATTACATACACTTTTGGTCGTAGACCCTTGAGGCATGCAGGGCAAACAGAGAATGAAAGACCACTCAAGTGTATACTGTATATAGGCATTGCAGTAATGAGCCCCGATGCAAAACATCTGTGTATCCCACAGACAATACCTTATGCTGCGTGCACGTCATTAGGGATGGATGGTAGAGATGGGAAAGATTCTCATGTTTATGACTGGCAAGCATTCATGTCACCACACCACACCACACCACTCAAGACGGTTGTGTGATTGCAACATTGTCCAACCCTATTTTGAGAGAGTTCAAAATACTGTGAACTGGCTGATGTGACGCATCCATATTTTTTTGCTTTTTGGGCATTTTCATATTAAGTACCAAGCTGGATAATTCAGAAAAATCCCTGTCTCAATTACAACTTGGACATTAACGGAAAAGCTATTTATAAGCTGGACATAACTGAGATAACCCGAACACATCACAGCCGAGTTTTTTAGTCTCTCAAACAAGAAACATAGATGGGATAAAATTGATAAAACGTCAAGTCAGAGCCTGGAAAGATAATTTTCTAAGATAAAAACATGTTCAATGTGCAATAAACAATAATGCTATGGAAAAACTAATGCTACTACAATTGTCAGAGGATTTCACTCAGTAACGCACAATCAATATGATCAACATATCAAGAAATCCTATATTATTATTTTAAATCACACAAGTTCACCAAAATAAAGCTACTATTTGACATCTATTTGGCAGCTGAAATGAAACATTGCTACCTCGTCTCACTGCTTGAATAAACTGCCTCCTCCAGACTGAATAAGTGCCAACGACATGGCAAACAAAAATGTTCTATTTATGTGTTATTTATTTACAGTACAACCTTTGTAATTCAAATGTGCTGCACTGGATTGATACACAACTCAACTCAACTCAACTATTGTTATGTACCGGGTTCTTTGAAATCAGCTCATATATTATTTTATGAGCTGATTATTATTATTACTACTATTACTATTACTGAATTTTCACGAATTTTTTCGTGGAATGCTCCCTTCTAACCAATCAGAGAAGGCCAAAGTCAAGGGTGGGATCTTGCAGCTGTCAATCAATATGCGAACACACTTCAAGTCTACTACTACTCTCACGTCGAAGCTTCCAGCAAGACAGCGAACAATGAAAGGATGTAGGTGAAGGGCTTTTGCTTTTCCTTTCAACAATGCAGTTGCATTTTTATAGGGAAGTTTGTGTATCAGATCTTCAGATCTTTCTCACTTACTTCCTCTGATGTTTTATTTTCATTCTACATTAACTCATGGTGAACAAATGCATGTTTGTAATTATCTAATCAGTATACAAACTGGTCTGCCAATAGATGTTGGCAGTATCACCACATTCAGACATGTCCCTGTTTCCCTAAAATATGTGGTACTAAAGTTGAAGGAAACTTTAGAGCTGCGATACTAACCTTGATCAAAAGTTACATCAATACCTGCTTGTGCGCTTTTTCTCCATGTGTAGAAACACCCCTGTAGTTATGGCATTAAACAAAAGTGCGTGCGTGTATATGTGTGTGTGTGTGTGTGTGTGTGTGTGTGTGTGTGTGTGTGTGTGTGTGTGTGTGTGTGTGTGTGTGTGTGTGTGTGTGTGTGCGTGTGTGTGTGGTGAGGAGTGGGGGGCCTGTCAGCTGTCAGTTTGTGCCATGCACTATCACTGCGGCCACAGACAGCTGTACGTGTGGACAGAGAGGAACCACAACCATCGAGTCACTAGGTTTGCAGATACATTATCATTAACCAACAAGGAAGGAATGGCAGTGTCTGTGGCGACCGATGGCATGTTGGAGGTGTGCTGATCACAGCCCTTTTTAATTCACTGTGGCTTTCACTGTTTGTGCTATTCCTCCCTTCAATATTTAAAACAGAACTGCTGACCACATAGTGCAGAATATGTCCTGGTCTGGTTGATAAGATCTGTTTTATTTAAGAATCGCACCGGTAATGAAGCTCTTCACAATAAAAATGTCTTGTGGGTTCACCAGTGGAAAGCTTTTGATGTGAATCAGCAACAGCTGGAAAGGTTCAGTTTGCCTGAGCAGTAACTTAAAACACTAATAAATACAGCTCAAAGTGATCAGTATTCAGTAAAATACGGCTGATATCTCAAAGTACAAACAGGATCACAGCGGTGAAACTAACTCCAAACTAAAGAGAAGAAGGAAGGACTACAATGTCTGTGGCAACTGACGGCATGTTATAGGTGTGCTGATCACACATCTCCAACATTTTTAAATCAGAGCTTTGTCTCTCTCCAGCACAGACACACATGAATTTAGCTGCTGAAGACATAGGTAAGGGGAGGAGACTGTGGTCGATCCTGCTACCAATCAGGACCACAGCAGCATGATGTGGCCATCCCCTGCAGTGAGGCTGTAGAGGACACACATGTCATCACAGCTTGGCATGGCCGAAAGCAGACCAACATGGGCCACTGGGAAAAAAAAAAAAAAACTACAACTCAAAACTGCTCATTTGGGAGAATTCACATGTCTTTTGTTCTATTTTGTTATTTCTACAACTACAGTATGTGGCCCTGAATACTGGAACATTAGTCATGTTTTGGTCCACAGCCTGTTTGACTGCTCATATGCAAATGATATTTATTCTACGGCTCTGAACTGGAAAATGGTCTCTTCTCCTCGAGCCTCTGGGTGCTTTAACAGGGAAATAAGCATTTTTTGTTAATAGAGCATCTGAAAGTACATGATGCACACATACATATTTCTTGGTTCATTTACAGGCTCAGGTTTTTAGTTCTCTTTTGTTTCTTTAAGTGTTGCTCTGACAAATTAACTAAGGCTTATCTAGTTATTTCATACATACATTACAGTTAATGAATTGGGTATGTTTTGTGTGATGTATAATTTTGTATTCTATCTTTAAGAACAGCCTCTTGTTATTTAAAAGATAAACAAGAGCCACCAATAT